TCTTAAAGGTGCCACAGGACTCTCTGTTGCTTTTTATTGTTTCCTTGTATACCAACAATCAATAGCTTTTGTGATTGATTAAATGCTTCAGCTTCACTTAGCCTATTAATCAATCTCAGCAGCATTTTGTGCAAGTGCAGAGCAGTAGAGAATATCCCTTAGGCAACTGCTGCGGTACAAAGGGCATTTCCAAGGTTTATGAAAACAGTTTTGACTGTCAGAAAAATATCATTGTTTTAAGTTACTTGCCTTACACCACATTCGTAATTGAAATCTACCTAAGGATGTAAAAGCTAGACTTTCTGAACTAGTCTGCATAAAGCAGTGACAGTCGCTCAACTTGGCCTGCTTTACAAAAATGTCCCCTAATTTGTTTTGGAAATCGGGGTCATAATTCACTCCTTGTTCACTACAATGACAGTTAAAAAATCGTTATCAGAATAAATGATTAGTCGTGATTTAAATATAATGGACCCAATTCATCCTTGGTATAAGAAGGCGCAACTCTATTACAAATATTTGTGTGTGCGTGTCTCCCTATTTGCCAGCCCTGTGTTGTATTTCCTGGTGTTTTCTTTCACTCAGACTCCTGTATGGTTTAAGAACAGACGGTCGTTTAGGGAAAGTCCACTTTACTGCAGTGAGATTCTATCCAAAGTCTGTTTCTCTACCAGCAGAACAACCACCGTTGTGCGACTGGGCTGTAAATCTTTCCTTGCACAGGCCTGGGGCTGCAGCAAGGTTGGTCATTGTGGTGCTGAAGGGACAGCTCCCAGCCAGGCTCTCGCGGCTCTGGCTGCAGACAGCGGGAAGCCTGGGGCAGTGACAGTCGGTGCATTATTCTGCTCCTAACGCGCCAATCTTTTGTCCGCTCCCCTCCCCGCCCACTTCCCCGGGGCAGTTGTGCAGGCGCAGTCTCCTAGCGCAGGGTCCCGGCCGCTCCCTGCAGGGGGCTGCTGGCGGGGAGGATTTGCAGTGCAGCTCGCACCAGCGCCGGGTGCTATTACTTCCGTGTCAGAGGCAGGCAGCCCCGGCGCGGCGGTTACCTCCCCTGCACGCTTCAGTCTCACCCACCGCCGCCTCCAGGCTGAGGCTAGACAGGGAGATCGAGCGGCGGCCGGGCGCGCGGATATCGCCCCCCCCCCCCCCTGCCGCTGCTGCTCCCCGAGAGAAGCGGGGAGGGGCCCGAAGGGGCAGCAGATTTTCCCCTCCCTGCGCAGGGGCCCGGGGCGGGGCGGGGGCCCCCCCCCCCGCTCTGCACCTATTGCCACAGAAGGCCAATCTTCGCTGCTGCAATTGACCAACTTCTGCTGCGGGGGAGGGAGCAGCAGCCAACCCGAAGTTGCTACAAAGATCGAGGCTTCCCGGCGAGATCTGGCACCAAGTCCAGATCCTTTGAAAGAAGAAGGAGCCCGCAGGTGCTTTGCTGTGGACTTGCCCATTGCGCACCCCCCCGCCCCCTTCGCTGGGAAGCCTTCGCCTCTCCAAGTGCGGCAGCACCGCGGTATCGTCCCCCGGAGACAGCGGGTAGTGCGAGTGGGTGGGTCGGTGGGCGCAACTCCATCCCCAGCGCTTCACTGCGAGCCAGGCAGCGGCAGGGGATCCGCAATCTTTGCAGCGGGTAGCCAGGAAGGGCCCGTTTTGCACAGGTTGGGGGGGTGTTCACCAGAGGGGTTTCCCCCTCGCCCTGGACCGCTCTTTATACTGGCGGGCTAATGCGGTGCTTTTCCTGTTCGCCCTGAGCTTTCCAGTCGCCGAGCGCTGCCATCCTCTCCCCCGTTCTCTTTGTACTTTAGTTCACGTGCTGCCTACCGCCCGGGCTGTTCGGAAACCCCCCGTGAGATTTCTCTTCGCGGGTGGGGGGCTTGCGTCTCCCCGATCCCACCAGCCAACTCCAGCTCTGCCACTGCGCTGCTGCATCCGTTCACTCGTGTTTATGGTCGCCAGCAGCCGATCCCGGTAGTGGAAGGTGCAGAGGAGCTGGGGGGAGGGAGAGAGCCTGGGAGAGAGCGAGAATGGCCGAGAGAAAGAGGACCTGGAACAAGGAAGACGACCTGCCCGTGTATCTGGCCAGGCCGGGCACCACGGCTCAGACCCCCCGGCAGAAATACGGGGGCATGTTCGCCTCGGTGGAGGGAGCCTACGAGAACAAAACCATCGACTTCGATGCCTACAGCGTGGGGAAGAAGGGCTCCCGGACCCCGCGCAGCGGCAGCAGACACGACATGATGCTGGATGGGGGGGACAATTACAGTGAGACCGCCAGCGATGTCAGCGAGGTCTCCGGCTCCGTGATCAGCTCCCCCGGGGACCGGGACGACAAGACCCCGGGCATCGAGATCAAATACCCGACGGGGAAAGAGCTGCTGCAGGGCCAGGACAATGGGAAGGTAAGAGGGGGAGGACAGGGGGTGGCAGGGTCTCGGTACCGAGCGCTGGCAGGGGGAGAGAACCCATTCATGGCTACAGCGCCAACGAGCCCTAGGCATCAGGAGTGTCACAACTGCAACAGCAAAGAGTGTTGGGTTCCCAACCTATGCAGCACAAGCCCTGCTGCAGAGCTTTACTGCGGCTTGCCGGTAGGTCCAGGGCTATTGCAGGGATCACCCGTTTGAGCATAACTGCCATATATCCCAGGTTAGGCTCGGCATTGCAGGTCGCCTATGTGCAGAATAAATACACCAGGATGCTGTTACTGCAGCCCGAGAGGGCTCGGGAATACCGCATCTTCTGAAGCATGGGACGTCACTCCTTCGGCTTCTTTTTTAAAATCTAAATAATAATAAAAAAAAAAATCAGAGGTCATGGCAGTTTTCCCCAGGGAAATATTTCTTACAAAGGGCTCCTGTACATTCTAGCTTGGAACACACACACTTTAATGTTCTAAACCCTTAATGGCTCTTTAAAAGGGACCGTATTCAGAATCTACAAACACACTGGCACAGATTCCACAAGGCTGTCTTGGATGGTGCCATCCAGCATAACAAAGCCGGGAGCTCAGTCCTAAACTGAAATCTCTGAGCTGAGGGGCCTATCCTAATCTGGGAGCCGTCGGTTTCACTTTTCCTATCGCTGGAAAAGGCCTGATGAGTCAAACACACCCACCCACCTCTACATACACCAACTCCACCTCTCTCCCCGTCCTGTCTATATTGTGAGATTTGCTCGGTTACTGCTGATCTCAAACCACCTGGATCCTCCTGTGGTTTCATTGTATCCTTAGCAGATTGTTTATAGCTGTAGCCAAACAGAATGGTGTCACAAGCTCAGGCATTTCCTTTAAAGCAACGATAATTGTCTATCTGTACTGCTGAGCTAAGCACTGGATAATGGCCTGATTTCTGAATTGGTTGACCTCTATTTCCGTGGTGGTAAGCGATTTTCAATTTTTCCTCCCACTCATTGGAGCAGGACAAAGACTATACCAAGATAAATTAGGAAATTAGAAATGCAGCTGAGTTCTCTAACCAGTAGCTTCTTGCAGTCTGAGTAATCCCACTTCTGTAGCATACAAGCCTGTGGCAGAGGTCATAAATAAAACACCTCTACATCACAACACACAGGAGACTGGTTTTCCTGGGAGATTATAATAATGTTATTTCCTCTCTAAATAAATAGACCTTTGCAGTTATTTTCTCACTTTGGTAAGTGGATCATCTGAACACATTTGATCTCCATACATAGACACCCCAAACAAACAAAAATAAATCCCTTCCACTTTTCACCCCATTTGGCTTTTAACACACACAGCCAGAATATTTGTCAATAAGATTTATTTTCTTTTACAACCTAGGAGCGAAAATCTCTTTTGTTTGTCTTGAGCCAGGATCTGGTACACTTTCCTGGTTTGTAGTCATAGGACAGAGCATAAAGGTGGTAATGGTCATTAGAGGTAGTTTTGTGTTACATTAAATATGTGACTTGAAAAACTGGAATCACTAAATACTGAATTGGGGTCTGGTTGATTGCAAAGGGCTCCCAGCTGTGCTGCAGTCTTCCCTTCCCTGTCTATTTCCTATTAATTACCTCAACTTTATGTCAAAATAATAATCCTCACTGCGCTGGGATGGTGCCTCATTGCATGTGCTTTGTACTCTTCCCTCCTGAGTTCTGCCTCCTATTTAAAATTGCACACATCAGGCAACTTGCCCAGGAATTACGTATTTATGTGATTCCAGATTAGTAATGGGTTGGCTTTCCTGAATTGGGGACGGGGGGGAAGATGGCATGGGAAGAGAGGAGGAGAACCTGCAGCAATATCCAGTCCGTACACACCCCCATCTCCACCTCCAGCAGCCTGGGCTGGAACTTTAAGCACTGAAGCCAGATTTCAATGGAAAAGTGATTAAGTGTCAGGGATGTGTCCTGACTTTAAAAATGACTCGGTGCAATTTAATGCTGGCATGGATCCAGAACTCATTTTACGGAAGCGCTTCTGGAAGGATTTAAACTTTGGGTCAGTGTCTGAGCCTTTGAATTCCCTTACTCTGGTCCCTTTAGGAAGTTTCAGCAGCCATTAGGGGAACAATGTAGGTGAAATACGGGAAAGGAGAGGCTTCAATCTGCTGAGCTCTCTGCAATGAGGGAGAACCACGTGAATTCCACCTGTTCTAGCCCATCTGCGCTGCAATGTGCTTTCTCCTGGGTCTCTCGCCCGTTATCTGTGCAGACGGGGAGGGGACATTCACACGGTCTGACAGCCGGGGCAGCGGTGCTTTGTCCCAGCCCTGGTAGAAATACAGCCAGAGACGCGGTCTCGGGGAGAGCAAGCGTTCGGGCTCGGCCCGGTGCTAGGTGGGGGCACGGCGTTTTCCAGCCCCGGTATTGGAGGCCACAGATGGATTGATGGGTTGGGGAGGGGGGGAAGAGACAGAAGGGAAAGGAAACGCTTCCTGGGTTGCGCCGAGCGAATCCTGCTCCGCTCTGCAGCCGGGAGGGCGCTGCTGCAGCCGCTGCACGGAGCTCTGGCCAACTCCCTCGGGGAGACGCGCCCCGTGTTATTGCCACAGAAAAAAGGGGGCTAGATTTGCCTTTCCCGGGAAGGAAACGCTGCCTCCATTGAATAGCTCCCCCCCCCCGTATCTCTGCATTGTGCTGTTCCCGGGGTGCGTGGTGCGCGCAGGGCTCACAGGAGGCAGCATGTCTTACCAGGGCAAGAAGAGCATCCCCCACATAACGGTAAGCGGAGCCCAGGGTCCGGAGCCCGCCCGGGAGTGGGGCGAGGGGGTTACCCGGGAACCCCAGGGCGGAGAGGGGGCATTGCCGCTCCGCCAGGGCGCTGAGCAATCAGGGATCCCGGGGGGTGGGAATAGATGGTCTGTTATGGCGGCTGGTTGATTTCAGGGCGAGGGCATATTACAGCATGGCAACGAAGCAGGGTTCACACGGATCGGAATCCGGATCGAGAGCGGCTCTGCTGGCGGGAGTACCCACCCCCCACCGAGCGGCGGGCAGGGGAAAGAGGGAATTCCCCTCCCCTCTTATTCCCCTCCAGCCCGGACCCTGCGCTGTGTGTGTGTGATCGCTCGGTTGGAAATAATCGCAGTGGGTTTCTGGGGGGGCGGGGGTGATGGCAGGTCTGTCTTGGGGAGATCAGCGGCTTTATTGCCCCTTTTCCTCCCCTGGATCTGCGCAGGGTGTGTGTGTGTGGGGGGGGGGGGTGTGTGCTTGGCGCTGAAACGACAGCGGTTCTTGCTAAGGTGATAGACTTGGGGAGAGTCAGCAACTGATGTGAAGCAGAACAAAAGAGGGAGGGGACCCGGACAGCAAGCACAATGCCTCGGAAAGCCCCAGCACATCCCCAGCGCACGTAGAGAGAGAAATTACATATTGCATCCAGAGCAAAAAAACTGATGTGGGGGAGGGGGATCGGAAGGGCAACAAGCCAATAGTGAATTAAAAAATGTGGAAACCTAAAGAGCGCCATGATGAGAGAGAGAGAGAGAGCCAACACCTCTCAGTGCTATTAATAGATCCCTGAGAACAATATTACCAAGAGATCAGGAGTCAAAGAGTTAATCGCAATTCTCGGGGACGTTCAGCTGGCCGTTTGCATCCATTTGCAGGATGGTTTTCCTGCAAAAGGGATCTGGGTGCTTTGATCTTGCATATTGTTTCCCTCAGAGATACAGTGATGGCTGAGCATAAAGAATAAACAAAGCTTCACATAAACTGTAGGGAGGAGGGTAACCTCCTTGGTGTATTCGACCATTTTGATTCTTTCACAAGACCAACGCCCTCCACCAAAGGACACAGAGTCTGACTCAGAAACATCACTTACAGACACAAAAGCCCCCCCCCCTGTTTTTGCAGAAATTTATTTATTACAGCTATATAGGAGCCAATGGTGTAAGTTGGTTCCATGCTGCAGCATCACATGGGAAGAGATAAAAGGCAGAAGTCGAGGTGTGCTCTAACTAGATTCCATTTCTTTGGGCTTTTATTGGGGAGTGAGCAGAGCTCAGGTATCCTGGAAACTGGCCAGCTCCTAATGCAAGATCTTAATTGATAAAGGATGGGTTGACAAGTAGGTGTGAAAACTTGTTAAGCAGCTCTCACTGCAGGAACGTTGCTAGATATTATTTCAGCCGGTGTTGCCACACTTGCAAGCACTTCAGAGCTTACAAGGATTTAAATATTTCAAAAGTTGTTTTTTAAATGCCATAAAGGGATGTGTGACTTCTTCAGTGCCCAGCTGCTTACTGGTGTGTCAAATTATTGAGAGGCAGTGTGGTCTAGTGACTAGGGCATTGGATTGGAAGTCCAGAGACCTATGTTCTGTTTCCATCTGTCACAAACCTTCTGTGGAACTTTGGGCAGTTCACTTTGCCTCTGTTTTCCCTCCATCCTTTTTCTGTCTAGACTGTAAACTGTTCCAGGCAGGGACCGTCTCTGCTAAGTGTGTGTGTCTATTGCCTAGCACAAAGGGGAGCCAATCTTGGTTGGGGCTTTAAGATGCTACTTTAATACAAATGATATGTAAATGTATGCCCAGCAACAATAGTGCACTATCCAATTTTGAGTAAAGAAGGAAACTAGAAGAACTGAATGAGATGTTTGCCTCTAAATCCACAGTGTGTTATAACTTCTTCAGCTTTCACTATTTCCTGTTGTCTTAGGACAAAATAATCAAGAACAAGGAAAGAGAGTCCCAGATATGGAATGTGCCCAATTCTTTCCACATGTATATCCATTAGTACCAGTGCTGTTTTTGTGACCAGATTAAAGACAAAAAGAACATAGTTCAAGTTCTGGGTCTGCCAACTTTGGCTATCTTTTAATTTTTTAAGTTTCTGTCCCTTACTCTTCCCCTCGGGGAAAAAAAAAGCAAATTAGACAAATAGTCTTGGCTCTGTATATTGTGTAGTGTGTACATTTCCTGTCCCAGAAG